TACCCCAGTAGTGTTTTCTTGGATTTGAGTCAGGCAACATACTTGGCCAGCTTATAGTTTCACTGTTTTCTCCTTAAGGAACTAATGTGTCATGTTGGCAGTCTGCTTTGTTCATGTCAGACGCGCTGGTGTTTTTATGTGAACCTAACTGATTTATTTCCATTTGAGCAAAGAAAGGACTCAAAGTATTCGCAAGCAAGCTATCTTTTTATTTCTTTAGGAAGGGTGAATCTGAAGTTTTTGTTCTGAAGCTCAAGTAAGGGTTTTTATTTATTCCCCAGGTTGTGATGCTTGGAAATTGACATTGTGCAATCTCCTTCAAACTGTCACAGAAACTCTGCTTTCCTCTGATAAGTCCTGTGCCAAATTAAAGGCATTTTTCCTTTTCTTTTGCACAGTTACATTATATAAGTAGTGCACTGGCCGTAGCATCATTCTGGGAAGACAGACACTCAAGCACTGTTGCTTGTTCTGTTGGCTAAATTACTTCCTCAACATGTCTTCAAGTTCTCCAGAGCCCTGATAATGAACTGATCATTTGATTCAGGTGTGTTGACCCAGGGTGATACCTAAAACCTGCAGGACACTGGCCCTTGAGGCCCAGAGTTCCCCACCCCTGTTCTAAAGTATTTGAGTTGAAGATTCATAAAAGGTTATATGCTACATGTAATCTTGGAAACAGTGTAATTATTGAGAAGGAATAAAATTTGAGAATCAAGTGATGTTCTCAGTTCCGATGTGTACTAAATTTTCCTCTGTCATAAAGAGTAGTTTTCCGTTTTACCAAGAAGTATGACTCTTTTTTTTTTTTATGTTAGTAGCACGACTGGTGGAAAACGTTTGTGCTATTCTCTTTTAATAAACCATCACTGATCTCATTTAGCAACAGTGTTTTTCAGTAGACAACCATGATGAATGACTGACTAATCCATTCTTTTGCACTGTAATCTGTGGTCTTCAGCACAACAACATGTCTACTTTTCTATTTTTTTTTTAAATATATATTTATTTATTTTTTAGTCTTTTTGCCTCTCATACTGTATTTATTTAGGAAATGAGAGGTGGCTCGAGACTTTTGCACAGTACTGTAAATCGCATCACTGAATGAGTGTATTGTGTGTCACTCAAAAGAAAGCTTCAAGGTAACTTCTCCTTCAAAACTCATTCCTTAAAAATTAAGGTGTGATTTTATTCTGTAACTAACTCAAGAAGACTCATTGTAGATTTTCAGCGTGGATTTACCAGCAGTTATATTTAAGAGCATGCACAAAGGGCCCTCAGCGGCATTAAAATGTGTTGCGTGTAACCCGAGTCCCCGTGCCTTAAAGCTGTGGCTCAAATTATGCACTTCTACCTTTAAGTGCATTGAGCAAAGCTTGTCCTTAGTTACACGAGCATGAATCTGTTTTGAAGGATTTTCCCCTGGATACACTTGCTCTACAGTAATGATTCATTTCAGCAACCTTTTATTATGTGCAGCCACATTAAACTCTGCTGTCACGATGGAGCTCATGCTTCCTTGTCTCTGTGCCCTGCAGATGAGATGTTTGAGCAGCTGCACATCGAGGCCTTTTCCAGCCCCCCGGAACTCCCTGATGTGATGAAGCCTCAGGACTCTGGTAGCACTGCTAATGAACAGGCAGTGCAGTGATGGCAGAGGCAGGAAGCGAGCATCGGCGGGAAGGATGGAAGTGGCAGTGTGCAGATTAACTGCGGTGAAGAAGTAGCGGGGTGGAGGATGTGTAAAATAGTTTCATTTGATTGGATGGGGACGTTTTAGGTAACCAAGCCGATCCATGTTACCTTCATGTTGTCATCTCAACATCCCCCCCACACGTTTTTGTTGTTTTTTTTGTTTGTTTGTTTTTTAACTCTATTGATTTCCACATCACATGCAGTTCAGCTCCTTGAATTTGCTCCTAAGCACCGAGTGAAGAAGTTGGTTTGGAAAGTGTGATTGTGTGTATGCGTGCGTGTGTGTGTGTGTATGTGTTGAGTTATTCTAATTATTATCATTAATATTTTGGAAAGGGTGGAGGCGTAGTTGTGTGTCACAGTGCTCTAGAATTAACATGCATGGGTAAGAGTCCAGTGTGTGAATCAGCAAATGCATGAACAAACTCAAAACAAAGGCTTTACATTCACAGAAGCAGATAGACCTACCACTGATTCGTTTCTCTGGTCTGATTCCCACTTTTCGTTGTACATTTCTGATTCGATCGTAAACCAGGAAGAATGTCTGTAAGATAGTTGCGTTCATTTTTGTTTTCATCATCATTTTGTTTCTTCGGTTTGTTTCACGCGTTAGTCCCTTGTTGTGTTTCACGCACTGAGACCAAAGGCAGGTACCTCTTGGACAGCAGAGGGATTATTTTTCTTCTTCTTTAGTTGTTTGGTCAAAGGATATTCTGTCTGTGACATACAGTATATACACAGGAGGAGCGTTTCTTGTGTTAAACTTTTCATTTTGTAAATGCACACATCACAAGTCACCAACACTTACGTGGCATCTTCCCCTTATTACACATGCATAGCCTGTAACTGTGATCTTGCTTAATTAAAAGTTTTTCCTGTTTGGTTTTTTACTCTGACTGCTTTTTGATTTGTTTGTTTTTTTATGTTTTTTAAGTTTGTGTCAGTATTTAATGAATAAATCAGTAATTCAGTGTATTGATCTGTGTTGGAGGCACTGGGCAGGGCTGTAGCAGTGATTCTTACAACCATGTAAAGCCTGAACCATGAAATAATTTCCAGAAAATTTTAACTTTTTGACAAAGGAGTGTTTATTGATCCTTGACAAATTTAAAAAAAAAGAGAACTTAAATATTAAATTGCATATGTGAGTTCTAATTTGCATCATATTTGCTTTTTCATTTGATTTATGTATCGCTCAAAAAATGCGTTTCTGTTTTGGGGGTAAAATCGAAATCACTGATGATGTAGAAGTCACAAAACTCATATACAGGTGTGATAGTGACGTTAACAATGCCTCTGTCCAGCCCATATGTGAGCCGGCATGCACAGTAAGCAGGTATAACAAATTGTCATATTTAAATTGTATTATTTACACTTGTGCTTTTTATTCTGTGATATGTTAAAAACTGTGAAACTGCTATTTTCTTTCTGGGATTTGTAGAACAGGATGGACAGTTTTTCTTTTATAATATAGATTCACTGTAAAATTAAAGCTCAAATCAACAAAAACGCCCCCTTCAAACCTCCAGGAGGTATCCAAAAAGCACCAGGTTTATTTTAAGCTGTTGATATTTGGTCCTAACTTCTACACTAATTAAAATTCTCCAAAAGGCATTGCCAGCAAAAATGTAGTGTAGAGGTCCAGTTAAGTGACTGGAATGAGTCACTTAATGAGTTGTTTTTCACCATATCACTGTCATGTTAAAACAACCTGAAGCTGCAAGAGTGAAAAGCTTACCTGGAACCAGAGGAATGCAGCAGGGATTAGGGCTTTGGACATTTCGTAGCAGAAAACGCCACAAGTAGAAATTATGGCATTAAAGATGATTTTAGTTCTATTTAGGGTCCATGAGAGTGAAACACAGCTGATGCACAGCTGCCAGACCTCCACCTGTAATACGACCATAGGTTACTACGCCCTGCAGTGGCACGTCTAAACATTAACCGTGAAAGAAGTTTCTGCATCACCACCACCATCTGAGTATAGTTAACATTACATCACTAACCTTAACATAATTTACCAGTGTCGTGCTCCTTCAAAAGTCTGACACATTCATTCTTAGCCTTTATTTTTCTAAATAAAGCTTTTGTCATAAAACAATCACAAAAATGGTGTCAGGGAGCACTCTCATACAGAGTCCAGGTTTTGATCTGTGGTGATTTTAGGAAGGGCTGTTGGTTTGGGCCTCTGTACCTTGGTCCCGTTCTGCCACCTTTTCTGTCCTGCTAGGTGAGACCAGTGCTGTCAGGGAGCGCTGGGAATGGATTTGGTCTGCAGCGATATTAAGGTGAGTGATACATGTCAAAGTGGGAGTACAGCAACAAGATGATCATAAGCTGTGCAGTTTCAGTGTGAAAACCATATAACCAGTAAGATGGGAGTTTTAGTTAAAAAAACAACAACTTAATTATTTCCAAGTTAGTTTCACTGTAAACAGGTTGCTGTCAATTCTACAACTTACGCTTTGTAACGCTTTGACTAACCCTGCATCCAGTTGCCAAAATATAAAATAGAATAGTTAATAAATAAAGTTTTTATTGTTTGAAAACGTTTTAGTAATAGTTTTACTTTCAGAGTAAGACGACAGAGACATCCTAACATCTCCAATAAATAAAAAGCCTCACCAGGCTGGTTGTGCTGACAAACGATACAACGAAAGTCATTTCCTGCACATTCTTATTTTATTTTATTGCTTTGTACACTATCGCTTAAGTTCTTTTATTTCAGGTGACTTTTCCGTTTCTCCTAATTTTAAATTTTAGTGTGTATTAATTCGAATAAGTCTGACTTAAGAATTGAAATAAAATTCAATAAAAAAAAATTGGATATATCCTAATCCTGACACTGAGCGGAGAAAACTTTGAAAACTGGCTTTGGGATACGCGTATAGTTTCTGTTCTTTTTCTATAGCCTTATAAAAAATACCCCACACACCCAAAAGGAAAAGAAAAAAACGCTTTCAAAGTGTGAATCACTAATATCTCACTAATATTGTGTTGGATTTTTAGTCCTATGCACGCACACGGAAATGAAACAAGTACGTAAAGAAACCAAAAATGGGAAGGTCCTGGTATTAAAACCCTGAAAACGAAAACAAAACCGGGAAAATGAGCGTCATTTCCAATATTTTCTGTTTTCAGAACTACACGCTTGCAGCAGAAGCAGCGGCGCGTCCTCTCTTAGAGCCACTAAATCCTTAATTTTCGATCCCAAATATGGACTAGGAATGTCCAGGGTGACGTCTCGTGTCCGGGGAATGCGAGTTTGTAACCGCATTTATTTAACTACGCCTTCCTCGCTCTGAGGTCCTGGTAGGCATTACACAGGAAGAGAGCCGTGTTGGAAAAAAAAGAGACGGGACGCCCTCCTCTTCTTCCTCCTCCTCCTTCTGTTGGCGGATAACGGTGCCCAAGAAGTTATTCAGGACCGACGCAGACAATAGCGCCGAGACCTTCTATCCAGCTGTGATCCACGGTCATCACTACTGATTAATGGTGTCTGCGCTGTGTCACAAAGAGGGAAACAGTCGGCTGAGATCCTATCATGGAGGATTTGGGTGAGTATTACAGCTGCTCTTCGTTTCATGCCTTGTAACTACATGTTGAGATATCTTGAAGGGATCTGTGGGGAAGGGGTGGTGTGCCCAAACGGAGGAAATAAGGTCTATGTTGATTCTGGCAGTCATAGAGTACAGATCCCTGGCTTACAAGGACATGTAGAAAAGAGGGGCTGTAACATAAGGAGCAATGGAAAGCAGTAGGAAATACTTTAAAAAAAAAAATGAGTGGTACAAGTTCCCAGTCAGCAACAGTGAGGAAATTTCTTATAATAACTCATACATGCCAATATTTTAGATGTTTGTAGAGCTGTGTTTTACCTTCATTGTGCAGGGGCACATACCCACAAATACATGCAGGTAACACATGAACCCGTGCACTGCTCTACATCTGCCCGACCTTCACTCGGGTCTTCCTGCACGGCCTGCAAATACAATAAAAAGCTCTGAAAATTCGATTTAAAGGGGTCCAGAGCAGGCATGTCCGTCCATTAACATTAACAAGTTATGGATGGATGGAGTGCCACATAATGCTGAAGAGAGTGTTTTCCATTTTGAAGGAATTGAAGACATGAGAGAAGACAGCATCAGAGAGCATCCCCCCCATTTCTGAATGATACTGGAAGCAAATGTCTTCTTTTCTCTAAAACAACATGATGGGAAGCTGACTCTTTGTGTCAGAAAATAGCTGTGTGTTGGAAAGGCCCTGAAATAGCCCGGGGCAATGCTGCTATTTGTAAAAGCCACAGAGTTCAAGGAAAATAGACATGGCTTTTGCCTCAGCTGCCCATTCTCTCTGGGAGTTTCTTCTGTTTTTTCACCAAGTACGCTTCAAGAGTGGAGCATTTGTGCTTCTCAAGCAACACGAGGAGGGGGAAAAAATGGCATGGTGTACACATCTGGGCACATCTGGATCGGATTGCACACGGTGACACGGAGGTGCTGGGCTTGAGCGCCATGTTTGAGAGTCTTGGCTTGCGCTGTCGTCCAACAGTGTTGTAAGTTTATGCATCGGATTTGGCGAGGCTTTCGGCGAGAGAGAGACCACTTGTTAGAGAGGCCTACGGCCAAGACAAACAAGTCTGCAGGCCGCTCTAAATATGGTCATAATTCCCATTGAGAGAAGTTCAGCTCCTTATATGTGCTGCTCAGCCTCTTCGAGTATGTGTGTGTGTGTGTGTGTGTCTGTGTGTGTGTGAGAGACACACAGCACAGCAGGGAGGTGGAGGGCCAGTAGTATATGCACACGGTTCTCACCGCATGGTCGTACCAGAAGTGTGAATCATCCGGGGTAGAAATGACCACAGCGGTGCGCTCAAGTTTTGTGACACATGGCCGAGCAGCGTAGGTTTAGAACATAGCACTTCACCAGATTCTGAATTAGAAATTCATGATTCATAATGTGACGAGCCTTGCGTAGCTGCTTGAGATGGGAAGTCACCCTGTGACGGTTTCTCCAAAGCCACGAATGAACTCTGACCTGCAGCTCGTAAATCAGCATGCAGAAAATGGACACGTCAAATTTCATCCATTAAATAGGCCGGAATTATCTGGCAGTGTGACTAAATGCTGTTCTTTTTCTACATCAATAACTAAGAAAACCAGTTGTGCAATGCTCGTCTGTCACACTGAGTCACAGCTGCAATACAAGAAAGAGTGTGATAATACTAGATGAAGCAGTTACTCCACATCTGAGGAGTGCCTGAGATGTGTCATCCGTGGCTTTGGGAGGAGGTTTCATGGAAAGACCATTCACCTGCTTCCAAGTAGTAATCAAGACTGGAAAACCTTATTGTTTTCTACAAAGCTCTGACTTGCATGACTCGTAATAATACAGAAGTACCAGAACCCCCCCAAGAAAGTACTTTTTTTTTTCTTTTAACCAAAATGTAATAGATATTGCATCACTGTAAACTGTTTACTGAAAACATTTGAAGGTCTTTTAAAGAAATTTGGAATTTTAAATATCCACCATCTGTTATCAGGATCCTCAGACCTAATTTACAAGCTTCTAAAGTTTTTTTAGATAAAGTGCTTTCGAACACTTTGCACGCTCTCACATCGTACACCTGCACATTTCTAACATCTGCTGATGATGTCACAATGATGTTGTTATGGTTACGTTAGCTTGGGCTTTACAAATTGAGGACGTTAAGTTTGAGTTCTCAGGCATCCAGGTCCAGAAATTAAAGCAAGTGGACTTTTTACCATCCATCCATTCTTTTCCGATTATCCAGTTCAGAGTCTCGGGGCCCTTTAGCCTCTCCCAGCTGCCACAGGGTGAATGTTTTGCCTCCCCTGTAGCTGTTAAATACCTGGGACTCTCCGTCAGCTCTTGGATGAGAGGCAAAACATCTTCACAAACTAAGTCCAGATGCCTTTCTTCAAGCACTCGAGACAGGATGTTTGTCAGCCACATGATTGGATTTGTTTGTACACGGGATCAAAAGTCGGGATATTTTGTTGTCTGGCTTTGGCTAAGGAATTCTATCGATAAGCCTGTTTTCCATTCCTATCATGTTAAAGTGTTAAAATACAGTACAAAAAGCCTCTGTCTGGTAAAAAGTGTCACTCCTGTGTGCTTGACTTCAGTAACCCTGAGGTAACACAAGTCTTCTGTGTCAGTCTGGAACCAGCTTACAACTGGACTGACCTTTCTTATTTATTTTAACTTCTTGGAAGGGAAGGCCAAAATTTTCATTTTGATAATATAAAAGTTAAAAAAAAAAGGGACTGGTACCCTTTCAGGACTCACAATAAATGGTTGCTATGTCATTACACATACATGGTAAACCACTGTTACTCATATGAAGTCCTCTTTCATCTTCAGTCTGCTTCGGTTGCTTGTCAGGATAAGTGATGTCACACAGCTGTAGATGCTAACACTTGAGTGAGTTTAGTTTCTGTGCAGCTTCTACTTCAGAGTGAGCGTGTGAGTGTGTGTGGGTGGAGGAGTGGACTCAGATATCAGCTGCCAAACACTCTTCCTCCTCTGCTTCCTTTCCACACTGGCATGTTTAGAATATGAATGCAGGAACGCTTGAGCGTCTGAGCGACCTCACCGTCAGTGGACTATCTCTGAGCTGCGCTGGTTCTGACTGTCCTGTCCTCTGAGTGACGAGCGTCCGCCAGCGCTCGCTGTCCTCTGTGTTGTGTCTCGGTGTGTGGGCTGAGTTGCTGCTGCTGTATTGGTCACAAAAGGCTGTCTGTGTCTCCTCAGGAGTGCCTGAGCCGCTTAACTACCCTCTCAGTCCTCGTATTGTTGTGTTTGGTACGTAGCTGCCTGTGCATGCGTTTGTATGTGTTTCGTCTCGTCTGTCGTTTAACTCAACTTAATACCTTCTTGTCATGCAGCGTAATACTTTGCATGCTTTTTAAATTACTTTCTTAACTTGAATCTCTTGATTGACTTTTAATACTTGGTAAATAAACTTGGCACCATTAGTGACAACCATGAATGTTTGTGACATGAAATGTGGCTTCTGTGGTGCTACAGAAACTTCTCTCTCCCTTCCAGATGCCCTCCTTGCTGATCTGGAGAACACAGGCTCCCCTTTACCTCGGTGTCCCGTCCTGCTCACCTCTGACCCGCCTCAAAATGCCGATCCCACCACCCAGGACCCAGCCCAGAGCCGGCCGCCGCCTCCTGCATACACCCCGCAGCAGGTGGTCAATCCGGGCCACGTTCATACCAGTTTTCTTTCTTCCTGATTATGCCGAGGCTTTGATAAAGTTTGTTTGATCACTCGTCTGTTTTGTCTCTTAGACCGTTTCTTCAGCAATGAAGACTACACAGAACTCCACCCCTGACAAATTATACAGGTAACTCCTTCATAGATGTCTTTTTCCGTTGCTCACAGGATCACCGGCAAATTCATTACTTGTTCTGCTGTTTGTAAACACAAATATCTAAACAGCCAATCACACGGCAGCAACTCAGTGTATTTTGGCATGTAGACATGTTTCCAGCACTTTGTTAAATCTACACCTCACAGAATTAAAGCAGTTCTGAAGGACCTGAACTAGCGTGGAGTACCTAATAAAAGAAGAATTAACTGTATGACATGTAATTCTGAGCCAGGTTTAAGGCATCTAAATTTCCTGCTGCTTTTAGCCTTGTTCAAAATACCACAAGCCAACACATCATCATTATTGTTTTGGCTCTTTCCTCTAAATTGCCCAGCTGAAGGTGATCAGACCTCAGCTTGTGTCCAGATGGCTTGCTACCTGTTTGTTCCATGGTTTTCCTCTCTTGCCACAGCCATCTCGAGGCTCTCTCTACCACATGTGGGGTGTTGCAGATTCCTCAGTTTTCCCTCGATGCCCAGTGTAATGAAATCCAAGGACAGCAGCTTCCCTGCTTTCAGCTATCTGCTCGTACTTAGGGAGCTTCTTCTTAAAGACCCACCAAAGCAATAATCCTGGGCAGGTGTTAGCCTCTAGCATAATGAAACACCCCAAGGACTCTAACACAACAGCAACTGGTTTCCGCCAGTTGGGTGTGATGATCTGATGAAAATGTGTTTGTTCTAATCCACCAGCAGCTGCCGGTCCCAGATGTGCTAGCTGATGATAATGGCTTCTTTTCCATTGGGTGACCCTCAGGACTTAATCAGGGTGCCTAAAGTGTCCCTCTGTCTCAGGGAAGCAGCTCAGCGTGTGCTGCAGAGTTGCACATTTTGAGCACAGCTGGCATGTGAAGTTTTGATGGACTGGGATAGAGTGTTTTACACGGAGAGATGGTGTGTCAGCATGTTGATGTATGAACCCAAACCCTGTTAGGAATCTCATTCATTTTCTTTACATCACTCTTTGCAAAGCAATGTGTGGTTTTTAAGCAAGCGAGAGAATTCTCCTCCTCGCATAACGAGTCCAACAACATTGTTTATACTTTGTTTTTTTAATGCCTTTTATTGTTAATATTATCTGTCTCCCTGCAGCACAGTGTGTAAACCGCGCTCTCCCCGAAGCGCAGATCCTCCTCTGGCCTTCTCTTCCTCCTCGCTGCTGGGGGGAGGTCTGAGTGAACTGGACCATCTGCTACAGGAACTCAACGCCACCCAGTTTAACATCACAGGTTAGCATGTGTGCGTGTGTTTTAAATCCTCGTGTTTAAATCAGATTTCTTATCTATGATCCTGTTTTGTTGTTAGATGAGATCCTGGCTCAGTTCCCTTCTTCTAAGAAAGATGAGAGGGATAATATCAAGGATAAAGCACCAACCTCCTCCTCCAGGTACCAAATCCACAGGGAAATAAGAGAGTATAATCTGTCTGAGTATCACTGTATACGACTGAGGAAGTAGGTCTGTTTTATGCAAACGCACCCCTTTAAAATCTGCTTACATTTAAAAACCTGCAGTATTATTTTTTTATTGCAAGTAAAAATCCATATTTGCACATGTGCGAGTGTGCAGCATTTTAGCATGTTTCTGATCATGTGTGTAATCTGTGGGTTTGATTTCGGTGTTTTAGCTCTGCGAAGCCTTCTGCAACATCGGCCACATTGGAACTGGACAAGCTGATGGCTTCGCTGTCTGACTTCAGAGTCCAGAGCACCGTAAGAGTCACCCACAGCTGCATGAAAATGCTAACCTGTCAACTTTTTACTTGTAAATTCACAGCGGCGCTCACTATATGACTTTTACAGAATGCTAATATTAGTGTTGGATCCCTGTAGAGGTTGAGTTGACTTCATAATGGCTACACTGTTACTGTGCAGCCTGCTGGCCACAGCACATGCCTGCTGGTACAGATCAGTCACCAGATATGGCTTGTGGATGAAAATTAGTCTTGGTCTTAATTTTTCCAGAGTCTAAAATAGCTTCAGATTGTCAGTAGTCAGCTTAAAGATCAGCTTTTGGAACAGCGTATAATCTAGTTCTCTCCTTTTTGGTGAGTCGGCTTGCGAGCAGAGCAGGCAGTTCTGTCATTATAAGGCTGTTTAGTTTCAGTATGCAGTCCAGCTGTGAGTGATAAACAAGACTGCTGTGGGAACAGAGTCTTAAAAAGGAAACGTCTCCACTGCATATCCATGACTAACCAGGCTAAAGTCTCCAGGCAGAGCAGAGAGACATGTGTAGAGCCTTGGCTCAAACTATGTGCAGTATTGTTATGATTTGACTTTTCCTCACATTGGTTTCTTCCAAACAAATTCATTTCCACCATCTGTGGAGTGATGATAAACTCCCAAAGAATTAACATCATAAGGACTTTGTGCTTTGTCTTCTCTCAGCCAGCTGCACCTGTCACTCCAGCGCCCGTTACAGCATCACCGCAGCAGCCGGCCGCTGCCCCTCCTCAGCCTCCTTCATCAGGAGGCTCACTGGACAGCATGCTGGGGCTCCTCCAATCAGACCTGACCCGACAAGGAGTGCAAACGTCCTCTAAGGGGAACTGCTCAGCCTGCCAAAAGCCGGTTGTCGGACAGGTGAGCAGTCAGAATATATCTGTCAGACATGTGATGAGGAAGACCCTCACTTGAGTTGACCTGGCTGTTTGTGCAGGTGGTGACAGCTCTGGGGAAGGTGTGGCACCCCGAGCACTTCGTGTGCACCGAGTGTGAGACGGAGCTGGGCAGTCGAAACTTCTTCGAGAAGGACGGGCGGCCGTACTGCGAGCCGGACTACTTCACGCTGTTCTCCCCTCACTGCGCGCACTGCAACAAACCCATACTGAACGTGAGCCGCTGAGATGGGAACATGTTTCTGTTACTCAACTCTGAGCTTATTTAAAGAGCTCAGATCGATATCACAGCCCACCTAAAGCTCTGTAACTTTCTCTTTTTTTCACTTTAATCGTTGTGTAGAAAATGGTCACGGCTCTGGACAAGAACTGGCACCCAGAGTGTTTCTGCTGTGTGAAGTGCAGCCGCGCCTTTGGAGAGGAAGGTAATGGGTGGTGCTGTTAATTCCTGTCAGGGGTAACAATACATTGCAGTCAGGCCACACTTACATGAAGCCCTTTATACCATACATCCATTAGCATTCAGACAGCATTTTATAATGTTATTGAAAGTTTTATACTATATATATTTCAGGAAATTCCTACCTTTTGCGGTAAATAAAGCACATCTTATCTCATTTATTAAATTATTAGATTATTTTAAACATTACAACCAGTTTCAGAGTTTATAATAACTTACAGTTTGCACTTCGAGACCCTAGAACATTTGATTTTAACCTTACATTAAAAAAGGCTACATCCTGTCTGAATGTTTCATGACTAGTGGGGTCATGACAGATATTCAGACATTTGCACAAATTTACTAATTTTTTGAAAAGATAACAAAGTTGCAGTGTCCATGACTGTAGGCGGCCATGTTTTTGTATCTACGTTCATATCACGTTATATAACTGAAGGGTTTAAGGCCACACCTCTTAATCTTTGAATGCTGGTGTATAACCATGCAGTCTGTCGTTGCAACATTTGTAAAGGAATGCGTCGTTCTAAAGAACTCGTCGAATTCAATTCAATTCAATTCAATTTTATTTATATAGCGCCAAATCACAACATAAGTCGCCTCAAGGCGCTTCATAGATACAAAGAAAACCCCAACAATCATATGACCCCCTATGAGCAAACACTTTGGCAACAGTGGGAAGGAAAAACTCCCTTTTAACAGGAAGAAACCTCCAGCAGAACCAGGCTCAGGGAGGGGGGTGACTGGTTAGGGTGAGAGAAGGAAGACGGGATAAAGACATGCTGTGGAAGAGAGACAGAGGTTAATAACAGATATAATTCAATGCAGAGAGGTCTATTAATACATAGTGAGTGAGAAAGGTGACTGGAAAGGAAAAACTCAATGCATCATGGGAATCCCCCGGCAGCCTATGTCTATGTGAATTCAAGAGGTCAGATTGTGAAATTTCCTCCCTCCTCAGATATTCCACCATCGAGTTTACGTGGTGCTTATTTAAAAGTGAAAGTATTTAGGAACCACAGCAGCTCAGCCATGAACTGACAGATCAGGCAAAGTTGCTGAGGAGCAACAAGATCGGCGACGCTCTGCTGTCTCAGTAACTGCAGAGTGGAATTAACATCAGCACTGACACTGTGTGCTGGGAGCTTCATGGCATGGTAGAGTTTTAAAATATATTTGCAGAGACAGGGATGGACTGACAGTAGTTTTCAGAAGTATTCCTGAAGCCAAGCAGCAATCTTGTCATTTTTGTAAGGCAGAACTACTTAAGGGTCAGAAGATAACAGCACTTTGTTTTTGAGGTTGCCCACAGAGATTTCTTCTGTGAGTTTTTTTTATTGACATTGTGCAAGTTAACTGATTAAAACCTTACATTCCTTTTAATTTGTAAAAACTTTGGATACATTATTCCTAAATTGTCTGTGCAGGTTCTCAGTGATTTGGTTCATGATAGTGTTAAGAGCTTGAAAATTGGTTTAAATGACCACTTTCAACATCTGACAATTTGTCTTTGTGCTGTTTTCAAATATGAGGTCGAAAACATTAGCAAATCTCTGCATTCCGCTTTTATTTCCAGTTTGCACGGTTTGCGAACTTTTTTTGGGATCGGGGTTATATCGGCAGTTTCACTCTGCCGTGAATTTCGAGGCAAAACACTGAGTCTCTGTATTTCCTTGGCAAGAAAATGGCCAAATTTAAAGCAGCACGAGCTCTGAGATGGAAAAATACAGCCGGCCGTTGTTAGTTCAGATCAATAAAATGTAATGTTGCACAAACCGCAGTCACAAAGAGAAGGTTTGGACTGATTTTCCTTTTTAAATCTGTGATATTATACAGTAAATCTGACATTTATCAAAAGAGCTCTTGAGCTGAGTCAAACTGTGGCGATGTCCTCTGCAGGTTTCCATGACCGTGAGGGCCAGCAGTACTGCCAGCAGTGCTTCTTGACTTTGTTTGCTTCCCGCTGTCAAGGCTGCAGCCAGCCCATCCTGGAAAACTACATCTCAGCTCTAAACTCTCTCTGGCACCCACAGTGCTTTGTATGTCGGGTGAGTGTTGCATTTTACTTGATCAAGAGTTGCAGCATTAATTGATGCGTTAGGCTTACGGGTCGTTTCAGGTTAATCTGCTCTGAAAAAGGTCAGAAAGGTTGGAGAACACCATGAGAGTTTATGAGGAGATTAAGAGGAATTTACATCCTTTAATACCAAGGAAGTCCCTTTTCAAAATAAAGTTAAAATACCTTTATTTTCACAGCCAGGTTACGTCTAACCTAGACAATAAAAAGACTATTGGTGATAGAATAGCAGAACACAAATATGCCACATGCACAGGTAAGACATTACCAGGACTTTTATATTAACACTGGCCACATCTGTCTTTTACTGCAAAGATGTGGCAGACGAAGGCGTCTTAATTAAAGGGAAGCTTTTCTGGATTTATAAATAACAGCTTGCTAAATGTCATGGCTTAAACGGTACCTCAGTTTTACTTATTTCTCCTAACCTTTATTTGCCTTTATAAATGCATTTATGTCGTCTATGTTTGCTGCTGCTCTCTGTTCTCCTTCTTTCCTGATTTCAGCTGAATTTGGATGAATGCTTGGAGACTGCTCCTGTTGGTGGAGCATCACTAGAAAAGATTCAGTGTGTTCGTGGTCGTGTGTCGAAACAGGGTTTTGTTTTGTTTTTTAGCTTAAACACAACCTTGCTGTGAAAATAAATGCATTTAATGATATATTTCCTGTCCTAGGAGCACCTCAAATAGAAGTGAGTTGATTCAGTGATTGATTTTTTTCTTTGTAAGGCCGATTCTAAATTTCCCAGATTGAACATCTATGAGACCAGTGAGCTCATATTTATCCTTTGAGGAGTCTCCTAACCCACAGCTGACACACTGAATCTGCTCCGTGGCAAATAGATCACGATGGCTGTGCAATGAAACCTCAATGAGGAAGTTCATGCAAAAAACAAAACACAAATAAGCTGGAATTATGTCATGGGAAAGTTGTCATTTCACATGAAAACGCTGTAATTAGAGTTGCATGAGTCAGCGTTGTGACTAGGTCTCGCTGTGTCGCTTCCTCTCGTTTCCAGGAGTGCTACAGCCCCTTCGTCAACGGCAGCTTTTTCGAGCACGAGGGCAAGCCGCTGTGCGAGGCCCACTACCACCAGTCCCGCGGCAGCATGTGTCAGGCCTGCCAGCAGCCCATCCTGGGGCGCTGCGTCACCGCAATGGGGGCCAAATTCCACCCGCATCACCTCGTGTGTCACTTCTGCCTGAAGCCGCTGAGCAAAGGCTGCTTCAAGGAGCAGGAGAACAAACCCTACTGCCACCCCTGCTTCATCAAGCTCTTTGGTTGAGGGCCCAGCAGGTCTTCGCCAGCCTGCCCTGAGAAGAAGCCCTAATATGACTCTCAGTTCTCTCTTTTTTTTTCATTTTTTTGTTACTGTGGGAGTTAGGGCGGAGCTGGACTCTTTGTAAATTTTGAAGAATATCTGAGTCAGCAGAGAGATGAGGAGGAAGACAGAATCATCCAACCCAAACCAGCCCTATTTTATTTTAACCATGGACTTTCAGTGCAAGGTTACAAACTTTATCACGGCTCAGAAACAAAAACACAGTGTGTTTAAATGAAATGAAAATTACGTTTTGCTACCAGGTGTAAAAAGAAGCATACATTTATACATCATTTGAGAATTTTTCCTGTTGTGCAAGGAAATCCCCTTTTAATATATTTGCTTTGTATTGCAGAAATTATCCACGTCACTGCAACTGCATTTTTATACCGTATGCTGACTGCTACATTTGTTTGTTTTTTCATTATTCATTCACTATTGCGCTGTGCAAAATGCCAAAAATGATTCCAAAGAATAAAATGAAAGCGAACGCGACTTGTTTTTGAGTGTTGATGTTTCTTTAAATTCACACGAGTCAGCTTTAAAAATAAAAAGCTCCTCTGCAGAAAGAAATATTTGATCTACTCCACTATTGGCAAGAACCTGGTGACAGTGGGAAGGAAAATCTGCCTCTTAATAGAAGAAACCTCCAGCAGAAGCAGTTGGTTGTGATAAAAGTCTGGTGAGAAAATTTACAAGCATCAGGCATAAGAAGATAAAGATTATTGATAGGTTATACGATTGGATGTTGAAAGGGCAGTTTGATAATTTTATTTCTATTTTTCAGTCATAAGTTTGTGTATGATAAGCAGTTGATTTATACAGAATTACTGTAAGTCATTTGCTGTGCAGGGTGAGACGGTAAATACTTTAGTTTTTGACTCCTTTACAATAAATAGAGGAGAAATATACACTCACCAGCTAAGTACACCTAGCTTTGTGAGATGGCACAAGAACCAGCTGGAAGCAGAATGCAGAAGATGGTACACTGTGGTGATAAAAGGATGGAGATAGTCAGGAATGATACTCAGGTGGGCTGTGATGTTTAAACGATGCTCAATTTCTACTGAGACCTAACATGTTCCAAGATATCCACCACAACGTTACAACACCTGCATCACTTATGGAAGGCAGGATGGATCCACGCCTTCATGGTAGTTACACCAAATTCTGACCCTACCATCTGAATGTCACAGCAGAAATTTCACTATGTGTTATGCCTGTATAACTATGCATGTGACGAATAAAGAACCTTGAACCTTGAAAGTGAAGCTTCCTGTTCTTAGCTGACCAGACTGGGACCCAGTGTGGTCTTCTGCTGCTATAGCCCATCTGTTCACCTGCATACCTTAGTTGCAACAGCTGAACTCTGACATCAAAATAGGCATAAAGTTATTTTCACACAACAAGCGGCTCCTCGCTGGAAATTTTCTCCTTTTCAAACTGTTCTCTGTGAGCCCTAAAGGCAGTTATGTGGGGAAAACCCAGTAGATCATCAGTTTCTGAAACACCCAGACGAACCCATTATGTTTAAAGTCACTTAAATCGTCTTTCTGATCCTCAGTTTGAGGGTTGAATATGTCTACATTCACAAAAGCATGTTGCCACATGATTGCTGGATATTTACGTTAATGAGCAGCTGTACAGCTGTACCTAATAAAATGGACACGGAGTAAATAAACGTTGCAGTCCTTTAAAATGTCTGCTGTGTGTGAGAAAATGTGCAAGGATTTTTTCCCCTCTTCTTCTGGACCATTAAGAGAAGCGAAGGGCGAATAAACGCTCCGTGTGTGAGGGAAATACTGACTTTGGCCACCAGAGGTCACTATTCGCTCACTGAGGATCGTGTGTAATTAATTGTAAAGTAGTTACAGGCAGGGTTTGAACACAAACGCTGAAAGAAACGAAGAAAAGACGAAAAAAAAATCACCCAGACGACATGTGGGCGGCACGTGGGCGGAGGCGACTTGACAGCTGCTGGGAGCCGCGTGTGACGTGTCCACGCCTACGCGTCACCTCACAGGTGAGCTCGCTTAAAAGTTAATGAGCGTCACGCGCTGTCAAACGAGAGAACGCGGGTAACGCTGCGAAGGTGGTCGCGATCCGTCGACTTCATCAGGAGAGGAAAGAAGTTGTGAAATGAATTATGAGTGACTCAGAGCAGCAACACGTAAGTCTGCTTCAACCTGCTGCTCTTTAATGTGTGTGCTTTAATCAGGCAGCCATCGCATGCCCGGAATGAACAGATGGTGAAAGTTGGATTGAAAACTCCACACGTGTTGTTGCGTGATTTATTTATTTGTTGGCCTATTTGCTGTTTAGAAACACTCTCTTCATTAATAAATCTTAAAAAGCACTCTGTCTCCACGCACCAGGATGTGGTGCAGGTGTGCGAGCCGCAGTGGCCTGAGAATGGAGAGGACTGGAGTGATGGAGAAGGTGGGACGGATATGGACTCGGGGCTGCAGGCCATGGCCGAGGAAGATGAGGAGATAAACGTCCACAATGAGGAGACGTTTGGGATGGGTGTGTAACTTGTGCTTACAGGTGTTCTTCTTTTAAACTTCTTTGCCCCCCCACGTGTCTGTGTGTTAAACGTGAGCTTTTACTATCAAAAAATAATGTAAGCATCCAGCATGATAATTTGGCATTCCAACTTAAAACTGAGGCTTAATAACACTAAAAATGTTTATCTTACAGGTCAGATTAAGGTTAAGTGGAAAGAAATTAGTCGTCTTCTTTCAGCTGCTCCTTTAGGTGTCACACCAACCTCCTTCACTACATCCAAAAACCTCTTTTGTTGTTTCTTCCTCGCTCCATCTTCAACATCCAAACCATCTCAGCGTCTCCTCTCTGCAACTTTGTCTCCAAACCGCTCAACCTGAGCTGTGAAGATCTTAAAATGTTCAGCTCCAGCTCAGCCTCCTTGATCCCTTTTTATTGTGCACAGTCCTCTTTGACGTAGCTTAAATGCACTTCTTAAATGCACGACGGCTCATAAGGTGCTGCCTTTAGGGTTGAATCGGGCTTTGTTGGGTAATGTGTGCTTGTTTGGCTGCTGTGCTCGAACCCAGGGTTGTGAAACATACGGCCCAGGGGCCTGAATAGACTCCGGTCCAATAAAAGTTGGGGAGCTTTACCTGTTCGCAAACCCTGCCATTTTTACTCATACGATACCTTAGAGTAATAGGCAAGGTTATTATAGTTAAACTGAAAAACGAAATGTGAAAAAACACTTGGTTGATTAAAAGAAAAAAAGGAAAAACTTGACTTTTGGGGGCAAAAGATTTCAGGAAACCTCTGCAGCCTTTAGAGGACTTTTCTGGTTCTGACCACTTAAAAGAAATATGTGAAGTTGCATTTTTTTGCATCGTTTTTACAGGGTTACTGGGAATCTAACCTGTTAACCTATCAGAAAGAAGAGTTTCCACATCTGTTTCTCTTTGTTCCCTGCCTGCATGTCTAGATTTGGATGCAAACGGGACCACAGAAAAGTCCAGCAGCAGCCTTCAGTTTGGAGAGGCTCCGCCTTCGCCGCCGCCGCCGCCACCTGCAACACCCCCTCCCCCACAGCCCAAACCTCGGTCTCCCCGCAGAGCCCCGTCGCCTCCCCGACAGAAGCTGCAGTATTTTCCGTGGGCTTCCTCGAGGCAGCGCGGCAGAAGTAGGGGACAGAGAGCAGCTCTGGGCAGGGGGCAGATGTTTGAAGACCCAGCTGTGATGAGAATAATCGAGGGCCGACCGAGCCTTAAGGTGACAAAGATGAATCTGTGTGTTGTCAGAAAATTGCACTAAAAACGTTAAAATCCTCCGTTTGATCCATTTTTTGCTCTTTTAAGAGTCTTGACAGTGCCATAGTGGACTGCGGGACCACCATGTACCAGCGTCCCTTTGAGGATGATGTAAGTGCCAACTTTTAATCCTTTTACTACACTTTGTTTTTCTTCTGTGGTGCTGATGCTTCTCTTCCATGTTTGTTTTCCATCCTAGATGATGATGCCCTCTTACAGAAAAACCAGAAGAACCTCAGGATCCATACTTGAGGTTATGATCACTTAAGAATGTGTTATACATATAATGACAAGTTCATTGTATTTTTATCTTTGTATCTTCCTGTGTTCTGTAGGACAGTGCTATAGTGTGTGTAATTGGGCACAGAGGTAGAGGTCAGACTCTGAACTCCAACTTTGTTGACTTGCCGTACTCCGCCGGGCCCCTTTATGGGGTCAGGCGAGGGGAATCCAGAGGATTGTACTCCAGAAGACAGTTTGGCCATCGAGGACCCACTCAGGTGGGCAACTGGCTTTTTACCACCTGGATATTTGTGTAACTGGATAGATGCTGTTGATGTGTCACTGCTTCTAAACAATCAGCTGACTCACTGTAAATTGTGGACTTCTTCCCTTTTTTAAGTTCTACTTTTTTTTTTTTCATACAGGTGTACCCACCCATAGTACCAAGATCCCCCCTCTTCCCACGTCAGCCACTGACCCCACGCCAGCATTACAATCAGGTTGATTTCAGTATTGCTCACCCCTTCATTTCCGTGTTTTTGTGCAGAACTGATTTGATCTTGACTTTTATTTTGTACTAAAGCAGACCAGGGCATTCATGTTTCCTCCAACCCACCCCTGCCCCTCGACGCCTCAGACTCCCAAAATGATGCAACTTCGCTTCGGAGCCAACTCACCAAGGCCATCCCCTTTTTACAGCCCCTCTAATCCAGTACAGCCTTTCAGGTGCTTGACGTTAATGTTGCTGAAACAGGTTTGGTCAACAAAATGTATAGTCTGTTAAACTCTGACTATAAATTTTGAGTTCATGAAGTTTGAGATGCAAAAGTCCAAGACGAGCATCACGGTGGCTCACTGTTGGGTGTGACCTGGGCGGGGCCCTTTCTGTGTGAGGTTTGCACCAGAGAACATGTTAGTTTAAAGCTGCCTCTCATAGTTTAGGACTCTTTAAAAAAAACAAAAAAAAACAAAGAGACTTTTAATCTGTTTAAATAAAAGTTTGAGTATTGTGTGTCATGCATAAATATCAGTGAGTGGTGCTAATGTTTATCTGCAAGGTACAGGCAGATGTTCTTGGATGTATAAGCCTTCTGGAAATGAAAGATGGAGGTTTCATATATATAAATGCATCTTCTCTTTATGTGCTCATAACCAAGCACAGTCTGAGATTTCATGCATACTGATGAGACAGTTCTCTAACCAGTAGGTACCCTGGTCCAGCCACGCAGCTCCATCCCCAACACAAACGACTGCTTAGTCAAAAACAGCGGCTATTCCAAAGGTTGGTGCATGGAGTGAAGAGTTTGATCGTGTTGGGTCATTCGCTATACTTACGGCCAAATCTGACCTGCTTATAGAAAGCCAGAGGGCTGGGATCCGTACTGTAACCTTATGACGGCCAAAGAAAAGGAGTGGATCACCCGGCTGCAGATGATCCAGCTGCAAAGTGAGAATCCTTACCTTGAAGACTACTACTATCAGGTAGGAAATAAAAGCTTTGCTCTTTAATTTTTTGATGGGAGAGGGGAAGCGAAGAAGCATTTCATTTTTGATTGCCGGTGAACCTTTAAACTGTTACAGGAGTACTATCGTCGAATAGAATCAAAGATGGCCGAAGAGGAGTTGGGCATCAGGAGCAAGAGGGAGCCACCTAAGCTCACCACGCCTTACGTCAAAAAAACAGACTCCTACACACCGGGTTAGTGAGGCACAGGCTGCGTTTCTCATTGAATGTTGAGATGCTTGTACCAGAATTTGCCCGTGAGAGTAGGAGAGACATTATCTCCACGCTGCTTTGATTTAACAAACATTTTTCCCTCCAGCTGCTGTTGGACTCATTTGAGTCGGTGAATAGTGCATGCAGGTAGTCCTGCCTTTTTGAATGTTTTTGGAGGTGCACGAGGCCTAAAATGCTTCCATCCTAAAACATTTGTCTCATAGATGCCTTATTTTTGATCCTTCTGAATGCATCTGTTTCTACAGGGGTTGCTCTGCTTATGTGTAAGAGTCTCTTGTTCTTGCAGTGGTGCACATTGAAGGCTCTTTGGGTCAAGTTGCAGTTTCCACGTGTTACTCTCCTCGCCGAGCCATCAGTGCTGTTCATGCAGTCCAGCCTCAGGGTCTGCTTGAGGTG